CAAAAGCTAAAAAGACACCAGAGCCTGTTTTAGATATTACAACTACGCAAGGAATAAAACTTGAAGTGGTTGCCTGTTACAAATACCTTGGTATCTGGCTTGATGATTGTATCACTTTTAAACGTCATGTCAATAACCTGCTTAAAAAACTGAGGGTTAGACTAGGTTTCTTCTACAGGAACAAGTCCTGTTTCTCGCTCGAGGCCAGGAAAAGGCTAGTCACTGTGACCTTTTTACCTGTGCTGGACTATGGTGATTTGATTTATATGAATGCACCTGCCAATTGCCTGGTCAAGTTAGATGCTGCGTATCACAGTGCACTGAGATTTGTGACAAACTGTAAAGCATTAACCCATCACTGTACCCTGTATGCAAGGGCTGGTTTGCCTTCGCTAACTGTACGGAGGCTCAGTCACTGGTACATTTTTATATATAAAGCCATGTTAGGGAAACTTCCATCCTACATCTGCTCCCTGATCTCACGGCGAATTGTAAGTGGCTACTGCCTGAGATCGCATGCTGTGGTTTTATTAAATGTGCCAACTGCTAGGACTGTCTTAGGGAAGATAGCATTTAGATGCGCAGCTCCACTGTCCTGGAATAGTCTGCAATTGAAATGGAAACTGAGCAATCTGGTGCCACTAAATGTTTTTAAAGCTCGGTTGGATGCTACTCAATCGGAAGCTGTTGGTACCTGTTCATGTGGATAGTTATGTAAACTGTAATCCCTGTAATGATGCTGTATGATGTCCTTTTTGTTGTTCTGTTTATGTTTTAATGTTTCATGTGGAACCTACTTGAGCAGGTCTCCCTTGAAAAAGAGGTCAATGATCTCAATGGGATACAACCTGGATAAATAAAGGTTTGAAATGAAATGAAATGAAATTAATACTGGCAACTTCTAATTATGGGAAATACGAAAATGTCTTTTAAAACTACAATTCCCAGTAGAGACGTGCCACAGAACATGTTGCTGGGGTTGGCGTGGACCCGTTCGAGTCCAGTTTTGGATAGTCTGCCGTGGTTTCATTCCATTTCATAGAGCTGTTTGACGCTCGGCGTAACCTTGGCGCACTGCCACTCCAACATCCAATCACAGAGCTTGAGGACTAATCACGGGGTTTGTCAAGCAAAGCGGATGTTGTAGTCCCAAACGATAGCTGAGGATTATGGGTAGTGTAGTGTCTTCGGCCATCCTAAACTCCCAAAAAACTATTTGTTTTCACCCCGTGAGGGTTGACGCCAACTTTACATGGACGCTGAGGGGAAAGACGTAGTACACGTTCTCCTGGCGGGACCTCAAATCATCTTTGTAATATCTATCAAACTATAGATCCTACACATCCACTGGACGTGGATTCTAAAAGTACAATATACACTTTTCGCTAGAAATCAAATCAAGAAGCTTTTTAATGGCCAAACTATTCTACAATTTAGGATTTTCCAGAGAGGGTTATTTGTGAATATACGACACTCCAGAGCGTTTGCAATCAACGGGAGCATATGCCGCAAATTGTTGTTTCTTACATGACCACTAGAGGTGCTAAAGTTTAAAACGTGACTATAGGTCGTAGTGGAGGAGCAGCGGAGTCTGGGTGGTGCTGCAGCTCCAAGGAAGAGACACACGGTTCACTAAGCTGAAAAAACTATATCCCGTCACAGTGATCTGCTATATTAAAGTCAAGTCAACACATATCAATTATTGTCCTCATTGACTGAGTGTAAATAATCCACAACCTACACTATATGCGAACCATTTTCTAAGGTTGGATCCAACATATCATTTTACGTTGTCTTAAGTAAAAGATAATTATGAAATGTATAGGAAATCACGTTTTTATAAATATCTTGCGTACAATTATATCTTATCAGTTATTGTTTATGTCTAATTGTATAATGAACAGTCTATGTCAGACAGTGAAAGCTGGAACATGTGACCTGTGGTTTCACAGCCTCACAGGGCTGTTAGCCTCGCTGTAGACCCTTAGTCTTATTGATAACCTGCAGATATGAATTAATAGGACTATTTTGATACGTGGATTCTACCAGCATTGTGTTTCTTGTTGGTTTGTTAGTCAACACCTATTTTTTAAATATTTATATTTGAAAACTATTTGTACCCATTTCCCTGGTCCAGTTGTTCTTTTATCTTGTTTGATCGCAGTGTCGTTTAACTTTCAAGTACATTTCAGCATAATGCTCTTCCTTGTGTATCTGAGCAAGTAACACATACACTCCAAATTAAGAACAAGCCCAAGGCTCTGTCTCACACCCAAGAATGCTTTCTATTTTGGTCAAATGTCTTGGTAGAAAGTCACACTGTATGAGCTGTAACATTCACAGCTCAGGTAAGCTGAGCTTTCATATCAACAACACAGTGTCAAAAAACAAACAAACAAAAACTTGTTGTTGTGTTACCAAATATACAGATGAGAAAATGAATCAGGTTGAGTTAGATTACACCAAAAAGTGAAAGGAATCTTTGCCCCACTCTCTCAATGAATAATGATTGCATTGCTACATGTTACATACCTATGTATTTTATCTAGAATGTGCACTCTCTTATATTTGAACAGCAAAGTGACTTTGCAATGGTCAAATGTATGCCTACTTTGTTTTTCACAACAAGGCCATCATAACACAGATGTTCTAGCAGTCTTTGGAGAACATTACAAGTTTAAATATTCTCAACTATTCAGCGCTAGGTGTGCTAACCACTACTTTTAAATGTCACACTTCAATCATATTACGAAAGAGGTGTGTTTATTATTATTAATTATTATTAGAGACCCAAATAAAGAAGTGTTAGCCTTTGAGACACAGCCTTTTCATTGCTGCCGTCTGTTTTGCAGCAGATGTGTTACATTACCTGGGAAACTATTAATCTTCCCACTGTGGTCATTAATACAAAAACATAAAAAATGTGTCACACACAGCAGCTTGGAACCTACACACTTTGAAAAAATGGCACATGTCCCCCTCTTGTGTGTACCCGGTGGCATGTCTCCTGCCTAAATCTGGCTAGAGTGCCATGGCTGGGTATCATTATGCTCCCACGGTGCTTTTTGTCCCTAATTGTATCCTGTCACCCTGTGGAGAACAAATACATGAGCAAAGCACACAAAGAATTGTACTCGTGTGTGCGTCTGTTCCACAATCCTTTTGTTTCTGTAAGGAAATGATTGCAGTCCCTTTTTTCTTGTTTCATATTACAGTGAGTTTAAACAGAGGTGGAATATAGGAAGGAGGGACAGACAATAAGATGCGGCAGCTGCAGCAGAAGCGTGTGTGGACCACACGCTGGGGTAGTTGCATGTGTGTGTTGGGGTAAGTGGGTGGGTAGGTGGTAGGCTGCACAAATCGGCTGTTGCTTTGCCTCAGTCTTCCTGTTCCTCCGCTAATGAGAGAACCTGCAATTGCAGACTGTGTCACTAACACACACACACACACACACACACACACACACACACACACACACACACACACACACACACACACACACAGAAACACACACACACACACACACACACACACACACACACACACACACACACACACACACACACACACACACACACACACACACACACACACACAGAAACACAGGCTGCAGGCCAGTGCAGTTTGTGTGTGTCCCAGTGTGTTCTCTAATGAGCGCTGCTGTTAGCACATTAAAGAGACAGGCTTCAGAGCCCTCCCTGTGTGTGCTGTGTGTGTGCAACGTTAAAGTATGATTTTGTTCTGATTAAAGTCAGTATGTGTGCTCACATTGTCTGTTCTCACAAGAAGATAACGTTTTTGCATTCTAGTATACAGAACTAGTGCACGTTCTTTCTCTCTGTGTGTGTGCGAACGTACGGTCTGCCTTATGAGACGTACAGTAACACAAACCAACGATACGTACGGTAACACAAACCAAGTTCAACAATGTCTGGCTTTTTGAGATTTCTTCAAACAACGGAGCCTTTTCTAAGAAATGTAACTGTTGAAGCATTTGCTATAGAGGCTCACTTCCTGTCGATTGGATACGCAGAGGCAAGTGTTTGCTAACAAGTAACAGCTTTCAAATGACACAACATTATTGCAGTTTAAACACATGAAAAAAACAATTTTCTCACAGAGAATATATACAATATTAGTTTATTTTCTTGGCCGCTCCTTTAAAAATGTGTGATGCTCCGCTTCTATGACTAACTATGTTATATATAATTTGTGTATATTTGATTCGTAAATAAGAATAAGATGAAACAGGCAGAGTGCCATAAGTGCCTACAGCCCATCTCCAGACTTTGCCATGACATTTTCTTTCCAGTTTCCAGTGCAAAAAATGTGTTTGCCTTTTATGCCTTAACTCATGTTTTCTCCTTTCATTTGTGGTTAAATTCAGAGAACATATTACCACAAGAAATATTCACACGTATGAATTACAACACGTCATATTTCTCATACCCAAGCCTCATACCTTTCATTTCTGATTCACTGCAAATTATTCTCATTTGTTCTTCATTTCATTTCCAACACTTCCCCTTGTTCATCTGTGTAATCATTGTTGTCCAGCAACAGATGGTTGTTATGAATGGAGCCTAACTTGCAGAAAAGCTCTATGTTTCTCTCCCTCGTGCAGTGTCATCCAGCTCTCTGTTTCCATGTTCTTGAATCATTTCCTGTTTTCTCGTCACTGTCACTCCTAACACTCTGAAATGTCCTTTATTTCTTTTTTTTCCATTTCTCCCTTGTCTCTTTCTTTGTCCTAGCCCTCCTTCTCCGCCTCCACAACACCATGTCACGTTGGTTTCTGTTATTGACAGCATAATAATTATAATTGTCCCACTCTTTTTTTCTTGATGCAGATTTTTCTTTAATTGACTTTAGGAGACATTCAATATTTAGCAGTGACATCACAAGTAAATGGTATTTCTCATTTCCATTTGTGTCTTCTTCTCCTCACTTCTCTCTCTGTATTTTCCCTTCCCTTCCTATCCACCTCTACCGCTCTGCAGCAGTACTTTAATCTCCTCATTATAACAGACGGCGTCATCAGCGATATGGACGAGACGCGCGACGCCATCATACAGGCGTCTAAACTACCCATGTCCATCATCATCATTGGCGTGGGCAACGCAGACTTCGCTGCCATGGAGTTCTTAGATGGAGACGCCAGTGTCTTAAGGTCCAGCACAGGAGAGGAGGCTGTTCGGGACATCGTGCAGTTTGTCCCTTTCAGGGATTTTCGAAATGTAAGTGAAAAACTAGAGAAATGACACGGAACCTGTACAAAAAATAACAAATAGAATAATAATAATAATAATAATAATAGATTTATTTTGTTAGCGCTTTTACAGGTGCTCAAAGTCGCTTTACAGAGATAGTGAAATGAAAAGAACAACAAATAAATATAGTTAAAGTGCTTCAAGTTGTAGTTTACGTGTACTATAACAGAAACAATACGAATCTAGATTGGTGTCAAGTCATTGACTTCAAAACTATTTACTTTACAGAAGTAGAAATGAGTTCAGGTCGAGGTATTCTGGTGTCGCTTACTGTATATGAATGCACACAATTATTTTATAAAGTTGCAATAGCATAGCAGGGCGCTATACATTTACTTTTATATGAATAGAATGTTAAATCCCCTGAAAACTTTTAAAACTACAATGTTTTAAAGACAAAGACTCAAATTAAGTATTCAAATATACATTAAGAGTTGATTAAAAACCTCTTATCAGTTATCAGATAAAACAAACTCAGAAAACATAAGCTGATGCTCTCAGCCTCTCCATGCTGAGTACATCAAGTGTCAGAGAAACTCTGATTTCTGACAATAGCTTATATTTTTCAGTGAGTTTACCAACCTAGAAATGTAAGTAGCATCACATTGCTGATGAAAGACCTAATGAGAAAATAGGTTTGGTTTATTTTATCCTGTGATGTTTCTCAATAAAAGCCCTAGATGTGAAAATGTGCTTTATCATTTACTAAATGTAATATCAATGCCACAGTGTAAAGTATACAATGTACCTTACAACGGGCTGAGAGGCATTCACTTAAGCAAGATCCTCAACAACTTATCAAAGACCATTGTTAGCAGCCTGCTGAGCACCAAACTACAAATGGACAAAGTTAGCAAGTAGCTGGTAAATATAATGGAACATGTAGCAGCTACAATTAGATAAATCTCCTCAGGAGTTGGTAGAAACCAAAAACAGAGCTAAAAGATGAGGAAATATTAGATTAACATTTATCAGGTGGCCAAAAACAATGCACCAAATAACTGTTAATGTTTCTCCTAATCTGGTGAATATGTAAATAGGCAACTGTTGGCTAACAAGTTTAACATATTAACTTAAAACATTGTTTTTCCTGCTGCCCCCTAGTGGCCAAAAAGTATGTTATGCTCATTAGACAGTTTTGCCATTTTGTACCACAAAAGCAGCAGCTATCAATAAGATAGAATACTTGAGAGTATTTCTTATGTTAACATCAGTAAAATACTTTAGTAAATGGAATGTGTGGAAAGTCCTTAGTATGTTGAAACACACATATTAAAACTTAAATTCACTATCATTTATTGACAAGGACGGAGTGGTGGATTAAATACTTTCTCTCATCATTTGCCAAAATGCAACTTACTCAGAAACAGATCAAGTTTATGAATTTGATTTGATGTATGGTACATAAACACAAAAGAAGGAAATAAGTTGTAAGACAACATCAAACATAGAACAATTATAAAATAAAATATAACAAGAAAATATATATTTTTTACTACTTTATATTAAAGAGAATAAAGGCAAATATGTATTTGACTGCGGTAGAAACTCTACCTTATGACGTGATGTCATGCTGTCTAATTGTGAATTTGTAACCAAATGGCAGCCTGTTGCTACTCAGATTGAAGCTGTGCAAACACTAGAAGAGGAGAGCTGCTTGTTATCTGAGTCTCCACAGTGTGTTGATGAGCATTCATACACAAAGGTTAAATGTGTGTTGGAGATGAGCACATTGGTTTCTAGTGCATGCACATTTAGGCAGTGCATGCTGCTGCGCGGAGGACATACTTTGTGCATTGTGATTGATTTTTCTATATTTTTATGTGTGGGCTGGTGGTGGGCGAGCTGGCTTCCTCTGTAGTGGGAGGAACATGGTGTTTGCTGGCTCAGTTCCAGTGTATCAGTGGGAGGGTGAGAGACAGCAACAGACACAATAGAAAAGTAAAGGGAGAAATAAAGCTGAGGCATGGAGGAAGCATAATAACCAGAGTGACCTTAAGTAAACCTACGTTGGCAGGCTAGCTTTAACTATCAAATATTATCTACATAGAGTACGTGTTGATAGGATACTGCGATAGTTAGTAGCTGTTGTTCGAATGATATTCATTGTCTTCAAAAATGACGAGACAATAAGAACAAATCACAACAAGGTTGCATTTGTGGAACAGAAAACAATGATGAAGCCAGCTTCAAAATTGTCGTATATCTCTTTGTATTACACCATAAACGGTGATAAAATAATCAGGCATAACATGTTTTATAAATCATGCTAAGTATGATATATGAACACATAAATCAGTAGAAACCTAGAGAATATAGATGGTCATGAATCTGGAAAGTTTGTCATGTATAAGTTCTGCTGAAGATTTGGAATTCTGGTATGAAACTTACTTTATGATATATATATATATTCTGAAATGCCATGCATTTTGCAAGAGACTTCACCATGAAACTCTCCTTAATTGACACGTTTATTTTTGTATAAGAAATGTGCTGAGATGTCATGTTTAAATATGCAAAAGAGACATGATTTAATGGTAATTTTAGGGGAAATCAGGGGAAATGTACAGAAACAAATAGACAAAGTTAATACGTGTTTTTTCTCTTAATCTCTGAAATAAGAAAAGTTGTTGAATAGTGTTCTAGGTTGGTGGGAGCAATTCTTTTGTGGGCCCAGAGAAAAAAAGACCAAAAGTAGATAAATATATGCGGAAAATAAAAGTTCTTCAAATCCACCAGTATTCTTATCTTTTTCAGCCTTCATTTTTTATTTACTAATGTGCCCTTGTTTTTTTCTCTCTTGCAGGCGCCAAAGGAGACCCTCGCCAAGTCTGTCCTGGCCGAGCTGCCTCAGCAGGTCACCCAGTACTTTAAACAGCGGAATGTTCCGCCTGCCAACTCAGCACCAAAGTGAGGCGGCCCAAAAGACGAGAGCCCACACGCTGTACAATAGCTCAACAAAACCTCTCTTCTCATTAATGGCAAACAATACAGAAAGAAAGTGTGTACATCAGCTGTTAACAAAATGAGTTGTGGACAAAAAAAATCAAACATTGAAGACATCTCTGCCATTATGAAATTGTTACTGGTTTAAGAATGTTTGGTCCAGTGTGAATTCATCAGAAGTGATTTTCTCTGTTTCCTTACCCTTTCCCACACATGATGATAATGTGTTAGGGACCTTGCATGTGATGGCAGGAGTCTCCAAATGATATGGATATATTTAAATATACAGGTGAAGTTGGCCTATTTTTGGGGGGAATAGAAAGAATCTTGATTTGTCAGGATGTAAGTTATTTGGGGTTTTTGCATGTGTGTGTCTTGTGATTGATGCCACGTGATACCTACAACTCCTTGGTGTAGAGTCCCTTCTGAAATACATCAGTGTTTGAGTGCCCTCACGCTCTGTAGGAGCCCCTTTACGGTAGCGAGTCAAAGGCATGTGCTTTTGTGATCACATGTGGCCGACTCACAGACTGAGCCTGAACAGAGCACTATTTCTTCAGTAGGAGGTTTTTATTATAACGTTTTGATCAGCAGTCATGTGAAAGGGGGGTTTTAATGCTCAACTATGCTAATTTGATTAAAGAAATAGAGGAGGAAGTGGCAGCTGTAGCACTAACGCAGGATAGATGCGGGACACTGTTAAATATGGGGCCATTTTGCTAGCTTCTGCAAAATACATGTATTTTTGATGACTTCAGTTCATCCTGCATGATGCCAATATCTACTTACTGTTTACAAACTGATGCTGATGATTACAAACGCATGCATTTTTATTTAAAATTATGTATTTATCAGATTTTGTAAATATTTAAATGAGATTCTGTTGAGAGGGATTGACATGGCACTGAGAAGGCTGTCATAGTTTGTGATTGGAAGCAGAAGAGACGTTTCTGATATGCATATTTATCGAATGTATATTTATATGATGCCGTCCATGTTCTGATAAGCCAATGTTTCTGAACTGTTTTTATGTACTTTTTATGCAGTGCTGAGTTGTGTTCTTAAACTACTACTACTCCTGTGTGTATTTATGTGCATCTTTGAACAAAATGTGTTGCTATTTATTTTATAAAGTGTCTATGTCCACACTCAGGTTAATAAACTGATGAAAATGGCAACAGTCTTCTGTGTCTCTGTAGATGAAAGAGTAAATCGTTTTAAAATGTAAAGATGTAAAATGCTTAAAAAGCCTCGTCAACTTAGATGTTTTTGTTCTGTCACAATCAAATATTTTCTGAATGGCTGAATTCTGTGACATGATTAAAGTTGCGGCCACAAGGCATCAGGGGAAAGCATTATCTCCTTTCCTCTGTTAAAGGTCACCTATCATGCTATTTGTAGGCAATAGCATAGGTCTCAGATATATAAAAATATATAAAAAACAAGTCTATGAAGTGTTCTGCTCAAAATACCAAACAGATCACCCATTCTAGCCATGCCTCATATCCCTCTATTTCACTTCCTGTTTCAAAAGTGCTGATTCGGGGTAAAAAGCTTTAAAAAAAGAAGGAAACATTTTTTTTAAATAGAGAGGGCTGAGCTCATGCGGGAGATTCTACCGGGAGATTCGACCGGAAGATTCTACCGGCAGATACTGCGGTGATGAAACGCCATATCATGGATTATCAAGGATTATCTCTGAAACAGTCTGGAGTTCAAAGGCTTTCTCTCTTGCCGGTTATACCACAAGGTGAGTTCCTTTTTATTTCCTGCTTCTTCACACACATGCTCTGTGCAGTACAGGTTAGCTCTGAGTGTTACGGCCCGTCCACACAGCAGCGTTAACAAATCTTGGAACGCTTCTGCCCATTCACTTTGAATGGGGTGACGTCACTTTGCCTCACTTTTCGCCGAACTGCATTGTGGGAAGCAGAGCGGAGATTTTCAGGATTTTCAGGATTCAAAGTTGAACAATGTTCAACTTTTGAAGCTGAGGTGGAAGCGTCAGCCAATCAAATCCCGTGTATGCAAATCTGACAGTTCAAGCGCTAGCCAATCAAACGGCGTGTATGCTGGGAGAGACATACCGCAGGTCATTTCCTCATATTCCAAAAAATGGAGGAGAAATTAGCGGTAGGGAATCACCCGGTGCTTTATGACCAGTCCCTATTTACCTACCGGGATATAAACCGGAGGAGCCAGGCATGGAGGGAGGTGGCAGAGACAGTGGTATGTTTTCGCCTGTTTGGGGAGTTTATATCCAGTTTACTTTTTTTGCTTGTATGTCGGGGGCGGGAGATTCATGTGATTGGTTGTTGGTGCCTTGCTCGCAAAAAATCCCCAAGCTTCAGATACGCCCACCTCCAAGATTTTTTTAACGCTGCTGTGTGGACGGGCCGTTAGCGATGCTAATGTAAACATGCACCGACCATATTACGTCCAAAACAGTCGGGCATTGTTTCTGATAGTGTTATGACCTGGCTCAAAAGGCCACAACAAAGAGGAGACACACCATATCAACGGTTAACAAAAGATGTTTATTTAAACAAACAATTCAAATCAACCAAATTAATTAAGTGCAAAGTAAGTAAAGCATGAGGTGTGGACGTCAGTGGTATCAGTAGTGTACATGCAGGGTGAGGGTTGCATGGACATGTATGTGTGTGAGGGTGTTGAGGTGCACAAAGTGAAGCAACTGAAGTAACTATAGCATACTCAACAGAACCGGGTGCCTGCAGGAAAGAGCAGAGAGAGAACAGAGAGAGAACAGAGAGAGAACAGAGAGAGAACAGAGAGGCTTTAAATAGCTGCAGGGCACCAGACCCAGGTGCCCTGAGCTACTGCAATCAAGGTGGCTGGATGCAGCACAGCCACACCCTCTCCAGATGAACCCACAGGGGCATCACAGATAGCAACGTTTCTGATAGGGCCGTGGGTGTAAAGCCAGCCTACATTTCCGATATTACGTCATATCGGACGCAAATCTGAATCAGCTCCGTTGTAGCCCCGTTTTTAGAGATGTGGGTACGGAGGAAAAGAGAGAGGGTTTTATTTTCTGACGCTGCGTGAGTTCCCAGACACACCGGGGACACATATTGTATAAAAGACATCAAAAAGGATGGTCCAGTGTATGCTAAGCTAAGGGAGATAATAAAGGAAAACTAAAGCTTCTTTCCTATGATCTAGAAAATTCAAACAGCTCCTATCATGGCCGCTGCTTAGGAAATTATGAAAAAAAGTCATACAGTAGGATGATTATATAAATAATGTCAAAAAATATCAGAACAGTCATAGAATAGCATGATGAAAAATAAAACAAAAGTAATGTGTAGAAAATTATGAAAAAATATAATATGTTGAAAATATGAGATATAATGGTGTTGAAAGTAGTCATAATATAGTATGTTGAAAATACCATCGAAAAACTAATAGTATAGTAATGCCAAAATAGGAAAGCCATTCATAGTATATGTTACAATAAAAAATCTAATGGTTGGCATTGTACATTATGTCAACAAATATCATAACATATCATAGTATAGTGTCAAAAGATATTATGAAAAAGATCTTAGTAAAATATGTCCAACATTATGTCGTAAAAGGTCAAAGTATAGTATGTTGAAAATATCATAAACAAAGCCATAATATATGTCGAAAATATCCCTCGGTTAAAGACAGAAACCCACGGCTGTCTTGATGTCAGTGAGCTGTTCTCAAAGTGAAACGCTTGTTACTGGCCTTGAACAGATAACATTATCTTCCAGTCTCATCACCAGTGTTTCCAAAGGCTTTCAGTCTATCTTACCTTGAGCAGCAACACACTCCCACACACACATTTTCTCCATTTAAGAGAATGACAAACATTGCGCTGCTTAGGTTGGTTCAATGCCACTGACAGACTTCAGTTTATTTTGATATCTCACCTTGACTGCCACACTGGTTTTCTCTCAATTTATCTCTATGAGCCATCTGAACTCAGCTTCAGATGCACAATTCTCCTGCCAAGGTTTTAATGAGTACTGAATACACATTTGAGAATCCAATTACCCAAATTAGTTTTGATATAGTCAAATTTCACACGTAAATGTTATGGCCCATGTAAGCCTGGCGCTGAATCAAATGTCAGATCTTTTAGCCCCCAACAACCTGCCAGAGCCGGGTTTTAAGCATTCATTTTACATTTCTCTCATTCATTCTCATTTCTTCTTCACTCTTGGTGTAAGTTTGCCTATAGGAAAGGGCAACATTAATGCAGAATATACTATTTTCAATCCATAAATGGTCACTGGTACCAAAATAATGTTGCCCTTGCTATTCCTACACTTTTCCTCTTTCACACAGACACACTCAAATACACAAAGTAAACAGAGTGGGGAAGCTCTTTATTTCTCTCTGCTCAGAGTTTGAGCAACACAGCAAAACTCTGAGATGGCAGCAAACAGTCCAGCATCTTTCCAGCACAATGTCACATGAAAAGAAAAACTACTGATTAGAAAACACATGACATCACACAAATAAAACATTTTAAATATTCAGACTTTTGCATTTAACCCCAAATGCAGAGGGAAGCGTGTCCTGCCCTGGCCTCCACTACTTCTGATAGCTAAACAGGTGTGAGTCATTAGACACAGTCTAAAGCAGCCTCCTCCTTGCTCCACAGCTGTCAATCACTGTTCCCCAGCAGCACAGCTTGCAGTCGCTTGGCTTGGGTTGGGAGTAGGGTTGGGTGTAGGGGGGGGCAGGATGTCGTCGGGGTAGGCAGTGCGGGATTGGTTGCTCGGCTTAAACTGTGTGAGATGTGATTGAGGGAAGGAAGGGTGGAGGTATCATGTTTGAGTGCCACAAAAACCACAAATAGATACACAGATTAAGTTAAAAGGAGAATGTAAATTGGATTGAATATTACTGTTGATCAGGATTATATGACTTGGCAGAAAACAGTTCAATTTACAGCTGTGAAAACAATAGGAATACTGAAAATGTTTGCTGTGTGTGTGTGTGTGTGTGTGTGTGTGTGTGTGTGTGTGTGTGTGTGTGTGTGTGTGTGTGTGTGTGTGTGTGTGTGTGTGTGTGTGTGTGTGTGTGTGTGTGTGTGTGTGTCACTAACATGATATGAACTTGTTTGGCCTGCAGGAAAACAGTTTGTACCATTTTGATGGTATGCAAACTTACTCAGCCTGTGTATGTGTGTTTGTATGCTGGTGTGTGTCTATCTTTAGGCCCTGTTGTGCCGGGGGTACGGCAACATAATTGCGTCCACGCTACCTTCGCTGTCCGAGCTGCTGTCAGAGTCGCTGCTGCCGGAATAAACGCAGAGTCCTGGAAGAACGCCAACGCACACGGCCGCTGACGGCAGGTGCAACACGCCTCGCTCGGAGCTCAGGGGGGCCGAGGTGGTCTTAGCCATCAGGGCAGTTTGTTGAACTTCAGCTCGCTCTGCTCCTCCTGCTCCATCCTCCTGTTCTGAACAGCACAACATACTGTTAGATTCAGAGCTGAGGCCAGAGATGACAGTAAACACAAAGGGATCAGGTTTCCAAAAAAATATCTAATAAACAAATGGGAAAACAGTAATATTATATATAAACCGTGAATCCTAGACTACATTGGGTTGTTCTTTGCAAACTAGGTTTCAAGGAAAAGAAATATAGAAATGATGTTACTTTGCTCATTAGAAGTCTAACCTGGGCTTCGTTGATTGAGCTGGTAGTACCGAGTATGAAACTCATGTTCATGACATGGTAAGGCCAGCCCTTGGTTTCCAGTAGCCTCAGGTTTAGGTGCAAGTTTTTAAGGTTTCCATTATACAGCAAACCACTTCTACTATGCGAAGAGGGTCAGTCGTCAATTCAATCAGAGCAGGGAGCCGTATACGAGTTTACGGTTTTCTGGTCTGACAGTTCTATCACCTAGTAGCCATTCCATGAATTGCAGCGCACAACTCAATTTCTGTGACGTTAGACAAACATTCGTCCTTTTAAGCCTCAGGCTGCAGCCCACCTGTCTGTCTGTCTCCATTTCCTGTCACTCCTGTTTTTGTGATTTCCACCTTCTGTTTCTTACTGCTGTCTGACGACTGGGAGGAACTGCGGAGGAGAACAGAGATATTTTGAGGTTATTTGTTTATTCAAATAATGGGTCAAATGACAGAGAGCAAATTAATTTGGGAAAAGAAACTTGAAGATTCAGTCTTAACACAAACAGAGCTCAATGTTCACTTAATTAGCTATTCATCAAGCGTTTAGAGGGTTGACCTGGGATTTAACTGAAAGCTTTGGTAATATTTATGTAAATACCTTTTGAAATCATTTCAAATTTCTCTTTGGGGATGTTTTTTACGGCAACAAATATAGGGTTTATAAAAGGTGAGTGAGTTTAAACCGCTTCCCGGATGCCAAACCTAATCGTCCAATTAGGAGAATGTATACGTGTGTGCTTACCTGCGTCTCTTTACAGCTCCAGCCAATAAATGGGCCTGAGACAGGTGGCTGGTCCTTTGCTCTGCTTTAGATGGCAACTTCTTTTCAGGCTCTCTGCGGGTTTCTGTGGTCGCATGCTTAACTACAGCACTGTGACAGCCCTGAGTTAAGGTAATAAACAATAATAGTCTTGAAGAGAGAACACAAAGTAGAATGGGGCAACTACAAACACATGACTATGGGTTGGATACCAGTACCCTTGAACTGATATCAAAACCATATATCATTTTTTTGTCTAGATCTGAGTACAATAAAGAATCGAACACAGGTATCGATTGATAAAACGACTTTGCACTAGGTTATAGAGTGGTGCACGAATGAGTCCTTAAACTCGGAAAATGAGTTGGCATTTCACCACCTCAGGTTCCCTCGTCTTGAATTCAACAGTTAAATGTTGGTAGTAAGATGCCTGAAATAAGATCTGTGGTTAACAAAAGCTTACAAGACTTTAACGTGTTGTTGTATGACATCAAATACGTCAATAAATACCCCACTCGTAAATGTCTGGAGCTTCTTTGTGTCATAAACGATAAGGAGTCCGCCTTTAGCTTAGCGGTGGCGATATGCGACTGCTGGAATTTCACGTTACATTTTACTTCTGACAATTGCATTTAGGTTTCAAAAGTCATAAAAGTGTTGTTAATATGTGGAGCCTATACAGCTGAACAAAACCTGTCAGTGTCATAAATGTGTTTGCCACACCGAAATCCAATGGAAAAATCCCATTGCTTTTTGTCGAGGGAGTCATTGTGATGCTGACTTCTGGGTCGGACTACAAAAATATGTCTTCACTGCACCGATCTATTTCAGTTGATACAGAGTACCAATGCAGAGTCCTCCATTCAACAAGTTATGGTCTGTCCTCCCATAAGGGGGAGTCATAGTCAGTTGTCTAGAAAAAGTGGCACAGTTCTGAGAAGACAAAGCAGAAAGAGGTGACATAGATAAAAAGTCTAAAAGAAGACCATAAGGAGCTCAGAGACATGAAATTGGGTCGAGATTCAGAGACAGAGGAACATGGACTGATAAGCACACAATGTAAAAGACAAAAGTGACAGACGGACAGAAAAACAGACACACAGCAGGCCTTCAGCCTTAAGTACTGTACAAGCAGTCGTGACTTTTTTTACTGCATTTACCAAGGTCTGCACCTGTGTGTGTGTGTGTGTGAGCGTGTACTTAGTGTTCACAGCAACTGCTTTAGACAGTCACCGTAGTTACCAGCCTATGATACAGTTTCCACGACAACCTATTCTCTTCTTCAACTGCAGAAAAACCTGTCCGTCACAACCCTGTCTGTCCGCAAAGACAAAGAGGGAGTGACAGAGAGGAAAAAAACATGACTTTATTAATTTAGTGGTCTGTCCTAAATACATATCATTCTTAGGGTTCTTTCTTGGGCAAACATGTGAGGTTATATAAAGCAGGCATATGATGCAGATTAAATTTGGCACACAAAATGGGCTGGTTCCAGACCTCTGACCCGCTGCCCACATCCAAGATTTGTTCAGTGATTGCACCTACTCATAGCTGCTTCCTTTTCCAGTTAGAGAAACAGTGAGCCAATCAGAGCTTAGTAAACAGATTAAAGAATGGATGTGCCATCTTCCTACATAGCTACCTAGAGGAACAAAAAACCAACCGAAGACTTGGACGGCATGTTTATAATCACCACTGATTGATTTTTTTGGAGCAAAAGCAAACAAAATATTCCTCCTCCAAACAAGAAATCAATGTAACATGAACGCAACGCCTGCAAACCTGAAGGGCTAAATGAAAAAAACTCAAATAAATGTCAATCGAAGCATTAAGCTAAAATAATTGATTGAAAATCACAAATACCATGATGTAATATGTTTATCCTTTAGATAAAGCGGAGGGAAAATAATAGACAGGACATTTTGTGTCCAACATAGTGTTGGTACATGAGGTTGGACACGTGTAAACGGTGAGTGAGTGAGTGAGTGAGTGAGTGAGTGAGTGAGTGAGTGAGTGTGTAATGTATGCAGGATACAGTCCCAGCAGGAGCTCGACTACGGTGAAGCTTTGCCTGACTCTGCCAACACATATAGCTGCTTATCATTTATGCACCGAGAGAATTCCATATTAGCAGCATGGGTGTCCTTCATCTGTTGAAAACACAAAAACTAACCCAAAAACAGCTTCACTGATCAGCTTTGGGAAATAGACATGATCTCGTTTTCACCAATAAATGGTCTTTAATAAGTACCGACAATAATAAAGATGAGCTGATTAAGATTTGTTTGATTTTCATTTGTCAACTAAATCAATTATCTGGGTTTTCTGCTGGTCCATGTCCACTGCATCTCATTATTAGTCATTTTAAAGTCAAAAAGTTAAATCGACCCTCAACTAATCAGCATAATAAAAACAACATCAGATATTTGCAATCTTAACTGCAACATCCGAGGTTCATCTGTTCATATCTTGACACTTAAAATGTGTCTTGCTTTAAACAGCCTATCCTGTTCTAAGGTTATCACAACTAACAATGATCTCAGTGTATGAGAACAATTAGCATTTCCCAAGTTCAATGATAATCTGTGACTGCATCAACTCTGACAGAAATCTGCAGAAAGTTAGGGTTTGATGGATAAGACACATTTAAAAGTCTCTTGCAACTGCTGTGAAATAGCAACGCTGTTAGAGCCGAACCATCTTTTTTTTTTATTGACAGTCGTAGTTCACCAAGTTCTGACCAATAACCATCATTCAAATCAGTCCCACACATGAATGCATGCCTACTTGTCACTGTATGTCTTCTCTACCCCATGTTTCAATATACCGGTAGTCACGTTTTTCACACCTGATACAAATCTCTACTCTACTAGTGGCGGATAAAATAAAAAATAAAATGTGCTAGCAAAAAAAGTTGATTTCAGAACCTGCTGCTTTGTCGGCTTGAGTTTGAGACTGTGAGTTTGAGTGGGTAGCGAGATAAAATCTCAGCACCTGGCAAAATAGCCTGTCTTATTTGCAATAATATTATGATAATTTTTGTTACTGGGCAGTATGAATTACATCTTTTGCCTAAACTTAATAATTTCGGTGTTAGATACAATTGGTGCTTAGGAAAGCTTTGCTTTTGCTTTATGGGAGATAACAGATTTGAATAGTAAGTCAAATCCCCACAGACTAATACCAGCTAATTAAATGAATATGTTTTCTACATAGCCAACATGTGATAAAGGATATTCTGTATTCCAACAGTTCCTGTTTCTCCTCATCCCTGCGTTGCTTCTCCACAAGGCTCTGTTGCCGGGAGACCTCGTCCAGGAAGCTGCTCTCATCCTCGTCCAATCCCCTCACCATGTTCCCTGTCACCATGGAAACAAACATGCTCTCAACACATGGCAGTGGAGTGATAGCATTTATCAGAAAACAAACCATAAGAGATTTTAGTTTTGAACGCTGACACCGTCACGTTATTAAATAGTACTGCTGAAAATGCATTGTGATTAGTGTAGCACTATACCACATGTATATACACTAGGGCTGTACCCGAATATATGAATATTCGGTCGTTGGCCAACTATTCGGTTTTCAATTTTGTTATTGTTCTTTTTTTTTGGCAGCCGCGCTGTACTGCGGCTGCCAAATTGAATTTATTGAAATCTCCAATATCAACGTAAGAGCTTGTGCCTCTTCGGGGGGTGCTAACACTTAACCATAAACTTTATCCGTTACTTTCTCATTCTTTATATGTAGATATTACTTTTCTCCCTTAATCTCCGCTCCTTTTCTCCGTCACGTTGTTTCCATAGCAACAACAACTTCCTGTCAACAGCGCTAACTCTCCTTCAAAATAAAAGCATGTCCATACAAAATAGGAAGCCATGTAAGACGTATATACAACTGCAACAAAAGTAACAAACACAATGCAATATACTTTTCAATTTCAAAGAACACAAATTGGGTTAGTTACATTAACAAATAACTATAAAACAAACAATACCAAAATTAATGCCTTGAATAAACCGAAATACACGTGTTGAAGCGCCGCGCGCGCCGAATATTCGCTGATTACTACCGAATATCCAGAGCCCGAAAAATGGTATTCGGGACAGCCCTAATATACACGTAAGCAAAAAATATGTAACGATAAAAGTGACTCACTGAATTTGAATTGCTCCTCAAACTCCTCTTGTTTTTTGTCTTTTTGCTCCTGCAATCGCTCAAAGAGAGTACGTGGGTCATACTTCTCCTCAGGAGCCTCTGGGGAGTAAACAAACAAATATGTGGATGTATGCACAGCTGTCTGTATTTAAACATTTTGGTTGGTTTTGGATCCATCCGAGTGTAAGTGCATGTGTTCTTCTTACCCTCTGGATCTTCAGGTTTCCTGACTTTCTCCCATTCTTCCTGTCTCTTCTTTCTATTCTCATCAAGCTCAGTTTCCGACACAAACTTCCTGCTGAGGTCGACACCTGTTGCCGTTGCCGCTGCCTCTTCCATTGCAACTCACCTACACACAAGCACACACATTACTTAGTAAGTTTCTTCTACAACATTTCTTTTACTCAAGGCTTGGCACATTCTATTTCTGTTGGGCCCTTAAAGACTACATGATGAAGAAGTCAATATCTGGGTTTTATTTAATGGGCTTCCTCTGGGGACAGACGCTGTGAATTTGTGGATTCCATTGATTGATTTATTCCCTTGCTGGACTATATAGAAAAGGAATCAATATAAGCCAGTAATACTCTGTTTAAGTCCCATGAGCAAAACCCTTTTAAACCACTGCTATTGACTTCTGCACATAGTCACCACTTACCTACAAGTATTAACCAAACAAAACCACCTTAGAGTACAAATCAGTATTATATTTAACTAATCCATTTAATAAAACCTGAACATGAAAGCGCAACAAAAACCCAATGGAGAGGGTTATAACTTTCTAACACTTTGATATTTGTCTCTATGTGATGTGTATGTCTTCTTGTTGGATTGCTGTAAAAGTGAAATTACATAGGTTGAACCAATGTCACACTTCAGAATCAGAATTCCTTTATTTGTCTCGTAACGGGGACATTTACGGTATTACAACAGCACAAGTATAGTACTACATATTAAGTCAAAAGAGAAGATTAAATATTATATAAAAAAGGAGGGACACATTGATAATAAAAAAACACAAGTAGAAACAAAGATAAGCACACCATGGCAAATACATTACCAAGTAGCAGTATATTACAAAAAAGTGACCATATAAAAGTAAAGAAGTAGCTGGTCTAGTTTATTAATTGTAAGTAAATTGACAGAAAAAAATTAAGAATAAATTGCATGAGTGTATAATTCACAATGTGTTATATTTGCAGGCAGTGTTATTGCACTGTGTGTGAGTGTGAGTGTGTGTGGCGGCTTAACATCCCCAAGATGAACACATCTTTGATATGTAATGTGAATTTGAGGCTTATTTTTGGGCTGTATGATGTTATTTTTGGTTTCATGACAGGTCACCAAACATACCACACATGTAACTACATATAACAGCTTGTGTGGGTTTGTTTTTAATAGAGGACTTAACTGAACTTAACCCGTAAGGTGTTGGCTCTCCCTTGTGGTCATCTTTAATCATCACAAGTCATATACATCTTTGCCATTTAAACCCCTTTTTGGCATCGAACAGAGCCCAATAAAACCCTTCGGATTGCACAACCGATATGCTATGAAGCGACGATAGCGTAAAATATGAGCTCTTCAGAATGGAGCACCGCTTTTCGATTGTATCGGCCCTGTTGATCCAATAACCCTTACTTACGACATGGAGCCAGTGAACGTACGCCTTTTAAGACAGAAGACTCATTATTCTAGCAATACATGCATGTATAATCCAATATGCAATTTAACTGCTTGAAACGTTTAATGTCTGGAATGGTACATTTGTGGACACGCAAATGCCTTGTGTGCTGCAACCCCCCTGTTAGCGTTAGCTTCGTTAGCATACATGCAAGCTGTTGTCAGCAGCCGAACATCGTGTCATGATGCAAAAGCAATGCTGCCAGCGGCACAACCGAGAAAACTGAAGTATTTAGGGTTATGACTGTTTGATATAACGATGAATGATGTCTGTGTTATTTAAACTTACCAAGCTTGGCTAGTCGATATGGATATGATCAATGAAATCAATGACGTTTGGTGTCACAGTAAAAACAACCCGGGACGTTCTTAAACGTGCGCATTTAGTTCCTACCTGCTTTCTGCAGCAGGTAGTGGAAATGAAGATTAATTTAAGATATAAAAATCCGGTTTACTGCCAAGTAGGTTAACACATATAAGGAGTTTGAGATATAGAGGTGCATAGTAAAAACTATAAAAATCGATTAAGTTGTAAACAAATAAGAAAATATAGAATCGTATTTTAACTATTTTCAAAAATAGACAGTATAACGTTTTTTTAAATAAAAAATAAATGTTTACAACGAGTTAACATTTAGAAAAACTAAGCTTTATAAGAACATGAGAAATCACCAGAGGTGGAGAAGTACTCAGATCTTGTACTTGAGTAAAAGTAGAAGTATACCCGAGTGTAGGAATACTCTGTTACAAGTAAAGTACTGCATTCAAAATATTACTCAAGTAAAAGTAGAAAAGTATTATCATCAAAACAGTACTAATTATGCAGATTGGTCCATTTCAGAATAATATATATGATAAGTGTTATCAAAGCTGGTAAAGGTGCAGCTAGTTTTAATGACTTTGTATACTGCAGAGTAGCTTGTCAATTTACTCCAGGGGTAACTAAAGTCTGATTTAAGTGTTGATTATATTTCACATCAATAATCCAAATATGTAAAGTAACTAAATGTATTAAATAAATGTAGTGTAGTAAAAATACACCATTTACCTCTGAATTGAAGTGGAGTAGAAGTACAAAGTAGCAAACAAATGAAATACTAAAGTACAAGTATCTCAGAATAGTACTAGTACTTGAGTAAATGTACTTAGTTACATTACACCACTGGAAATCACTCTGAAAATGTAATATGTGCCGTAGCTACCTTTATCATATTTTAAAATGGAAGCTGTGCATTTTAAGAGGTAGCATTTAACAGAATGTTCAAAATATACAGAGGAATAAGCTAAGGTTAAAGTATGAAGTATGAGGTAATGGCTCACATGATGTGCGGTAATGTAACGGTAATAGTGTCTATTCACATTTGTAAAGAGTCTCTCTCTGAGGCCAGCTGACGGAATATGTTTATTGGCGAGAAGTTTATATCATGAAAGTCAGCAGTCTCATGCCAGAGGGGAGCGAATTAAAGTGTCCAGGGTGGGAGGGCTCAGCCACAATCATACCTGCCCGCCTCAGGGTCCTGGAGGCGTAAGAAACATCTCCAACTGCCACAGAAAGAACATCTTCAGCTGGGCCTTTTAAGTGATGGATATGAAGTTCTGCTCCCACTTGAGGTCCTGTGTAATGGAAGGAGGATGTGGAAAGACTCTACAGTGTTGAATGAGAAGTCACGGTGATTGGGCCGGGTGGGTCTCCTTTTTTTCAGAAATCCACAGTCATCTTCCCTGTTTTTAGAGCGTTGAGTTCTAAGTTGTTGTGACTGCACAAAGTCCCCATGGTTAGATACCTGTTGACAAACTCATTCCCAAGAGAGACTAGTCCAATAAGGGCGGTGTCATCTGCACATTTCAGGAGCATAATGGAATGGTGATTGGAGGTGCAGCGGTAGATGTACAGAGAGAAAGTCAGAGGGCTGAAGCAAGTGAAGCCAGCTTCAAAGTCTGAGATCCACCTCCAGCTCCAGGTGTATCGTGCACGTGCAGCA